TAATATTAATATTAATATTAATATTATAACTTTATATTTCTTCATATTTCATCATCTTATTCATTCATCTTTTGTAAGTTAAGAAGTATATATATATATATATATTAAAATAAAAATTAATTATGATTAATTAGAATGATAATGTAAGAAAAGAGAAAAAGAGAGAGAGAGAAAGGGAAAGCAACGGGCGTGCATTTAAAAAGCGTTCCGAAAATCCCCGTAGGAGAAGGCGTAAGGTACTCATAGCGTGTCGCGACGAGGTTGACCGAACATAGCCGAATAGAAACGAAGCGTCACGAGAGAGGCAACAGGCGGCCCGTTTCGAATGGTCGCGCGTGCATTGCTCAAGGTGGCTGTGCCCGCAGTCTGCCGTTGGCATTCGTCGTGCGTGTATCGCGTAACGTTACTGCTCTTCTCTGCTCTGCTCTATTGCTATTGTTGCTTCTGTCTCTTTGCCGTTTTCGTGTTGGTGCGGTTTCTCTTTCGTTTATATATATATATATATATACGTACATACACATATATATATACATACATACATCATACATATATATATGTATACGCATATTTTCGTTTTTTTATTATTCCAATGTACTTAATATACGAACGAAGAGAAAATATTACTCGAGCGTAATGTTGCTTGCGTTATCTTGTTTTTACTTCGACGATTGCTTTATTTTATTTTAACATTTGAACGTTCGTGAAAGAAGAAGAAGAAGAAGAAGAAGAAAAAGAAGAAGAAGAAGAAGAATAACAACAAGTAAGAGAGAAAGAGAAAGAGAGAGAGAGAGAGAAAGAAAGATAGATAGATAAATAGATACAGAGGAAGGAAGTAAGGAAGAACATAAGAAAAATATGATAGTCAATCTCGACATGAGGAGGTGACTGAACGTACAAGACGGCGAAAAAGAGTTTTTCTCGTGTTGGCGTCTCTGTGTGTTCGCGCGCGTAGAGTGTTTTAGTTAGTTAGTTCGTCGTACGTTCTGCGTACCTATACGTACGTACGTGTTTCTGGTACGTGTGTGTGTGTGTCTGTGTGTGTGGTGTGTATGCGATCGCGCGCGCCTGTGTTCTGTGTGTAGTTAACGGGGAGTAAAGGAGTGTGGTAAAGTACTTTTCTTGACCGTTGTTTAAAATCTTCGTGTAAACGCCCGCAAAGCTTTCGGATATTTCTTTTTTCTCTCTCTCTCTCTCTCTCTTCGTTTCTCTCTCTCTTTCTCTCTCTCTATATATATATATATATCTTTATTTCTTTCTTTCTTTCTTTCTCTTCGTTTCTTGGTCGCGTGTTTAACGACAAACACGCGGCACCGTCCAGGAAGAAAGGACGAAAAGAATGTGTGTGTGAAAAAGAGAGAGAGAGAAAAAGAGACACAGAGAGACAGAAGACGAACGATACAACGAAGGACGAAGACGATCGAATGCTTACTATTATCTTAGATAGTTCTCTGATTTTTTTTTCTTTTTTTTTTTTTTTTTTTTTTTTTTTTTTCTTTTCTTTTTTAACTATTAGCAACGTGTCGTCGTTGTACCGGCTTCTAGCTTAAACGTAAAATCTTTCGAAAGAAAGGAGAAGTAGGAGGAGGAGGTGGAGGAACCGTTTTGTAAAATCCCGCGAAAGTTCGTTCGTGTGACGTCAACGAAATAGTAGAAAAAGAATAAGAATAAGAAGAATAGAATTCAAAAAGATGTGGCAAAGAAGAAATGGAACTAGTTGGGTTGGCTTTGAGAAAAGACGAATGTAGGAAGGAAGAAAGAGATTTTCATCTTTTTGTGTTCTTTTTTTTTTTTTTTTTTTTTTTTTCCCGATCTTAGAAATTATTTCGTGCCCCGGGTCACGTGATCCCATTATCAGAGTACGCCCGGTTTAAATTACGCGCAAAAATATCTAACCTCGCGCCCGCCATTTTGTTATTGTTATTACTATTAGATATTGCTTTTGGTTGTCGTTGTCGTTGTCATTCTTCTTCTTATTATTGTTATAAATATAATTTTATTATTATTATTATTATTATTATTATTATTATTATTATCGTAAATTCTCATATTTATCACAATTAGTCTTTTAAAAATACTTTTTTCTTTTTCTCTCTCTCTCTTTCGAGAAAGATTCAGAGAGAGAGAGAGAGAGAGAGAGAGAGAGAGAGAGAGAGAGAGAGGGAGAAGAAAAAAGAAAATTATTCGCGAGTGTGAAAATATTAATGAAATATTAATGATATTAATGATTCTAATATAAATAATAGGAAATAGAGAATAGTGTGGATCGAAGAAAATATTTTAAGATGGCGGAATTATACGTTATGAGATTTTTCATTCTCGTGTCCTTACACGTTATACTTTCCGGTGGAAACGAGTTGAAGGACTATTGTTCAATGCACAAGTTCGAAAATCTACCGAGTGGATTGAGATTTACGAAGGAAGTTGTTACGACCGAATACGCTAACGTTGGATCCTTCAAATCTCTTCATTGTTGTCTACGTGGCTACAGGAGCATCGAATGGTGAGTACGAATATTCAAATAACATTTATCTTCTTGTTTTTTTTTCTTTTTTTTTTTTTTTTTTTTTTTTTTTTTTTTTTTTTTTATACATATATTATTGTTACATTTGATTTTTTTTTTTTTTTCCTACGATAATAATATTGACGTGAAATTTTGCATACTTGATTATTTATACCGATGGAAATATTCGATATATGTATTCTGCGAAATAGAGTATTCACTTGAAGAAATATTTACGATCAATTAATAATAATAATAAAAAAAAAAAAAAGAAAAAAAAAATATTGATCGAATAAATAAGAAGTGCTCTTCTTATTATATTTCTTTTTTTTCTCTCCTTCCGTCGTTCATATCGTTCGACTCGTAATGCTTACGATCAAACGGCAAGGTGAAATTTCTCATGTTCATGATAAAAAAGAATAGATCTCGTTTGAAAACATTATTCCACTTACTACAAATGTATATACTTATATACACACATACATATATATATATATATACATACATACATATATTTTGTACTATTTGTTTTTTTTTTCTTCTTCTTACTTCGTTACGGATCTTTTATAATTTGTCTCATGTGCTTCTTCGCAAGCATATCGTTTTGACGACACGACAAGTTAAAGAGAGAGATAGAGAGAGAGAGAAGAGAGAGAGAGAGAGAGAGAGAGAGGTATATACTCTCTTTTTCTTTTCCTATCTTTTATGGTTATATATCTCTCTGTCCTTTTTTTTTTCTCTCCTTCGTTTGCTGAAGCGACCGAACGCGATTCGTTTCGGTGGATTTCGACTTTTCGTCGGAACTATTCGTAACAACGAGACGAGTGAGACAGTAAAACGTAAAGAAAGAGAGAGAGAGAGAGAGAGAGAGAGAGAGAGAGAGAGAGAGAGAGAGAGAGAGAACCGAGAGTTCTCTCTGATTTCTTGGAACTTCAAACCCTTGGATATTAAATTTTCGTCTTTATTTTGTCGTTAAACTTCGTTCGTTCCTTTTGAAAAAGCACAGTTATCGAGTAATTGGAAAACTTATATTTTCTTCTTCTTTTTATTTCTTCTTCTTCTTCTTCTTCTTTTCTTTATTTTTTTTCCTTTTTTTTTTCTTTTCCTTTTTTAAGATGCCATAGAAATAATAAAAGAGAAAGGGAAAGAGAGAGAGAGAAAGGGAAAGAGAGAGAGAGAGAGAGAGAGAGAGAAAATTCGCACACAAGATCGCGTTCGCGCCATTAAACTCGTAGTTGACGTTATGCGAAATTTTTTTTTTTTTTTTTTTTTTTAAATGCGATCGATTAAATTTCCATGAGAAATGTTCGTGATGGAATGATGGTGGCGAGGGAGGGAAAGAAAAATATAGAAAAGAAAAAAGAAAAAAAAAGAAGGATAAGAAAATGATCAGTAGGATAAAAGATAATCGATGAAATGATGAAAGAAAGTTAAAGATGTTGGAATCATCTTGTTTTCGTTTGTTATGGATCTTTTGCCTGGTAGAACGTTTTCTATGGTAGAACCTTTTCTATGGTAGAATTATTCTTTCGATGGAAAGGTTCGCGCGAAAAGTGGTACGACGGCTTATCGTTCGTCGTCATAGTCGTCATAGTTGTCATAGTTATAGTCATAGTCGTCGACCTCGGTCGTAGTCATCGTAGTAGTCGGATGGTCTCGTTCTTCAAATTTTATTCCCTTGCGATCGTGCCAAACGATATTATGATGCACCAGCAACGTCGATCGACCGATCATCTTTCTGGAATTTCACGATATTTTTCCTCAACTCTTCGTATCCTTCCTTCCTTCCTTCCTTCCTTCCTTAGTTATTTCCTTCCTTTCGGATCACAGTATTTCTCAAATATCTTTCCATATTTGAAGAATAATTCCACGAGTTATATATTTATTTATACATTTATCATTTTATTTATTATAAATAAAATCTTTTAATTTTCTTTTTCTACCTATCTGGATCACGGTATTTCTCAAACGTCTTTCCACATTTAAAAAATAATTCCACGTTTTTTATTTATTTATTTATTCATTTATTTATTTATTTATTTATTTATTTATTTATTCATTTATTCATTTATTATTTTTATTTATTATAAAATCTTTTTTATTATCTTCCTCTTTTCAGATCTCTCTTGATTTTCTCTTTCTCTCTCTCTGAATTATTAATGCTTATTTTTTCAAATTAAGAGATTATTATTGTTTTATTTATTTATTTATTTAGTATATTTTTCTTAATTTATTACGTAAATTTTTATACTCTTCCTTATTTCCTTCCTTTCGAAACGCAGTGATTCTCTTCAATTCTTCTCGAATTATATTTTAAGATTATTATCATTTTATTTGTTTATTTATTTATTTATTTATTAAGATATTTTTATAGCCATCGTTTATTCCTTACAAAAATCATAATGGTCCTTATTCCTTTCGATATAATTACACAAATTCTTTCTATATTTATTTATTTATTTATTTATTACAACATCATTTGCACAGATTTTTACATGCAAATATTCATTAATCATCTTATTACATTATACGTCGATATAAAATTAAAATCGAATGTAATATCATATTGTTTGTATGGGAATATTTTTTTTACTACTTTTACATTTCTCTTTATTTATTCAATATTTTCCAATGTTACAGATTTTAAGAAATATAATAACCATCCAAAAAAAAAAAAAAAAAAAAAAAAAAAAAGAAAAAAAAAAGAAAAAAAAAAAAAAAAAAAAAAAAAAAGAAAAAAAAAGAAAAAAAAAATTTGTCACCCGTTATATATATATAATTCGAAAAAAAAGAAGGAATTTAATGTAATTTTTTTTTCCTCCCCACGAAATCCATCAGGAAAAAATGGGTAGAGTAGTCAGTCGTTCGATTATACTCATAGGTTTTTTTTTTTCTTTTTTTTCTTTTCTTTTCTTTTCTTTTATATTTTCATTTTTCCCCAAGAATTTTCCGAATAAATCCCCCTTCCCCATCTCGTTTCGTAATTCCCCACGTTGGTATATTCCTTAGTGAGTCAGAAGTTGCTTGACAATTCGGACGAGACGGCTTGTAATCTTTCTCTCTCTCTCTCTCTCTCTCTCTCTCTCTCTCTCTCTCTCTCTCTCTCTCTCTCTTTCTTACTCTCTTTCTTTCCCTCTCTCTCTCTCTCTCTCTTTCTCTCACTGTTAGTCGCGTCACTTCCGCGAAACGTGATAATTATCTTGTGCTCTCGTAAACTTAACGATCGGCAAGGAGGAGGAAGGCTTTGTTTCTCTCTTCTGTCACGTTCTTGGAATCGACGAACATTTTTCTTCCTTTTTTTTTCTTCTTCTTCTTCTTCTTTTTCTTCGACAGAAAGAAGGGAAGAGTGAGAGAGAGAGAGAGAGAGAGAGAGAGAGAGAGAGAGAGAGAGAGAGAGAGAGAGAGAGAGAGAGAGAGAGTGGGAGGGAGAAGGAAGGAAAGTGAAATGAAAAAGAAAAAAGAAAAAAAAAAATAAAAGGAAGGAAAAAAGAAATACGTGTACGTCGAAATGAATTCTCATGACTTATCTTCTATCCTTCTTCCCCCACAATCCCGTCCCTCCCCCCCCCTCTCTCTCTCTCCTATCCTTCCTTGCTTCCATTTTCCCTTTGGTCAGGATTATAAAGAAGACTTTGGTAAAATCTTTCAATCCTAACGAGATATATTGTAGTTGAAAAAGTAGAAGTAGTAATAGAAGAAGAAGAAGAAGGTGAAGAAGAAGAAGAGGAAGAAGGAGAAAAGAAAAGAAAGAAAAGAGATGATATCTCCTGTCGGCAGAGAAACAGAGCAAAGGCGAGAAGAGAGAGAGAGAGAGAGAGAGAGAGAGAGAGAGAGAAAAAGACCTGCAGCAACCAGCACAATTTTCAGTCGATTCACGATAGTTTTTGAGAAAAGGTTTCGAAGGACAGGTTAGAAATATAGAAGGAAAGAAAGAGATAGATAGAGAATGTTTGTGTCTGTGTGTATTGTGTGAGAGAGAGAGAGAGAGAGAGAAAGAGAGAGAGTGAGAGAGTGAGAGTGAAAGAAGAAGGTTTAGGGTTGGTCAGAAAGAATCACTGTAGGGGGTCCTAAGAAGAAGTTCGACGAAATGCTTTTCTTCGTGGAACTCTGCGAAAGATCAAGGAGGGGGAAAAAAGAGGCAGAAGCAACAAAAAAAGAAAAAAAAAAAGAAAAAGAAAAAAAAAAGAAAGAAAATAAAAGAAAAAAAAAAAGAAAAGAAAAGGAGAAAAAGATACAGAGAGAAAGCTAGCAACTACTAGTAGGGTAGAAAAAAGAGAGAGAGAGAGAGAAAGAAAAAGAATAAAAAGGTAACGACCACGAGTACAAAGTAAGGTTAAGAAATTTTTATCCGCAAGTCGAAGAAGTTTATAACCGAGAATTAAATCGGCAATGGGAAAGAGGAAGAAGAGAAAAGAAAAAAGAAAAAAGAAAAAAAAAATGAAATGAAATAAAATAAAATAAAATGAAATGAAATATAGTAAAACAGTTGTTGGTAAAATGTAATTGGGTATGATAGATGGTGGTAAAGGATACGTGTAGGACAATTCGGTTTTTGAAATTTGTTGAGCTTTTAACGTTACATTAGAGTTAAAGCGTATAATCAGAGAGGAGAAGGCTTTAAGGAAAAACAAAAACAACAACAACAACAACAACAGCGCGCAACATACAAACAACAAAAACGATATAATACTCTTAACACCGGGCAATAACCAGTAGGGGACTTTATTATCCGAACAAAAGCAGGATTTTACGAGACCATTGTGTAAGTACCAAGGGCTCGAAAAGTTCCAGGTGTCAAACGATCTCTCTCTCTCTCTCTCTCTCTCTCTCTCTATCTCTCTTTCTGTGTTATTTGTCGTCTCTGTAGTATTCAACACCAAAACCCGACGACACTTGAGAGGACTTCAACCGTTTTTCGAACTCCTTCTTCCTTTTTCTTTTTCGTTTTCTTGTTCTTCTTCTTCTTCTTTCGTTTCTTGCTGTTTGCGAGTATCCAAAGA